ACTAAATATAAACCGAGGCCATGAGTTTCTTAGTTTAAAAGCAGCTCCGAGGCTGGCCCCGACACCTTGGGTTTGGACCATGTGCATCCACATGCCACATGCATGTAGACCTTGTAAAACAGGAGTTGCTGGGCTCCCTTTCACGGTATGCAGCAGGGCAGGACCTGGAACAATACCACTGTTGTTCCCAGGCGTGGACTGCACTCACTGTCAATGGTATCCCTTTAAGGGAAATCTAGGGAAATGCTCTTGCCAGCGCTGAGGTTTTGTTTGCTGGAGGCCAAGTAGCAGTGGCATGTATTGGTTCCATAGCAACATGTCTGTGCAGCCAGAAACAATACAATGACAGGGGCAGCCAATGTACCCTGGGCAGGACGAGCACAGCCCCGATGGCCCCTTTGACTTCCCCCAGTCCTGGCCTGCCTTTCCCTCCTGCAGAGCAAGTAGACTTGGTAATTGTTACTATCTGTCCCTGCTATTAACCCTTGCCCCCTTTCCCCACCCGAGTCAGGACTTGATACGGGAGAAGGCAATGTCTGTAGTAAAATTCTGCAGGCCCCTGAGGGGCCAGCGGAGCTGGCAGAACCTCCCTGCCTTAGCGAACGAAAGTAGGTGGAGAGTCTGCTTTGCATCATCCCTGTGGCAGAGCAGCTCTGTGCGCAGGGCACAGGGGGTTCAGCATTTCCTGCCCAGTGCGGTCGCTGCTCCTGGCTAAATGTGGGCAGTGATCCGGAGCAGAGTGAAATCCAGGGAAACAGAGTACCCATTAAACGTGCTACCCAGATGCAGGGCCACTGACCTGGGCCCAGGGCAGTGCCGGCACCGCAGGGCTGCACAGAGAAATACAGCACACACTGTATTGTTTTGATACCTTCTGGATCTTTGGCCTGAGGTGCACTTTCTAATTGCAGTTGCTACAGTGTGTGTAGTTGGGGTTTGAACATTTTTCTCACATGAAACTATTGTAATCACTCTTGATTTCAATAGATGCCTTTCCCTCCTGAACTCCTGAAGCATTTTTAAAATCTTTGCCATCTATTTGACACTTATTTTAGATTTCCTTTTTTGATACATAATGCTTTGGGAGCCTGGGCAATCTTTCTAGGTAGAGGGTACGGCCTTCAAGGTCAGGAACTATCTATCTTATTCTTCATCTTAAAATAAATTCTCTACTGCTCAGAACTGAGCCCCATAGATCAGGGGGACTTTTTTTTCTGCCAAGGGCCATTTGAATATTTATAACACAATTCGCCGGCCATATAAAATTATCAACTTAAAAAGCAGTCCAGCCTGCTATTTTTGCTCAAACCTTTAATTAACTCACCTCTAATGCCTTGTCAGGACTGGGCCAAATGATTTCTCAGGCCATATGTGGCCCGCGGGCCGGACATTCCCCACCCCTGCTGTAGATAATAACCATGCCATCCATATGTCTTCATGACAATGATATAGTCCCATCTTGTCTCACAAGGAGGTTGTGAAGAAAGTATGTAAATACATTGAAAATGCTTTTACATTCTTCAGAGGAAAGATAAGAACATTCTTTTTTCTAGTGTGGTTTTAAAAAACATGTAGATATGAAATCACAAAGTAAGAATATCTAAAGACTTCACATTTCCTCATCTTCCTCTTTGTGGCTACCAGCCATGAACTGTGTAGCCTAGAGCTTTACACTGGCACTGAAATCATTATTTTTCCCACCCCACCCCCATATTCACTACTCTATCGAAGGTGCCGTATTATACTATTTGGGCCAGACTTTTCAGTCACTCACCTTGCAGTGTCTTTGGAGCTATGAAGTAGGAGATTTGAAGGATTTTTTATAAAGGTGACAGGTTTGATAGATTAGGATAGTGCTTCCTAATTTAGTTTTGAGGTGTCTGTTGGGAAAGGGAAGGCTTTTATTGTATAACAACTTTTATCTTAAGAGGTCTCCTCCCTTCCCAAGTTCTAAGCCAACTGAGAAGTAAGACAAGTGTAATAAGGAAGGTGGAGGCCAAGATGCAGCTTTTTGACTGATAACAGTTAACTGAATTAGAAATTATATCTGGGGTTGAGAACCAAAAGCGGGCTTCCACCGCTCTATTCCCTAGTCTGGGCCTGGGAACAGTCCACCTGCAGGAAAGTTCAAGTTCTCATGTGAGTCACTCTCTGTGTGAAGAGGAAGGAGAAGAACGCCAAAATCTACCCCCTCCACCACCCCTGTACTCAACATTCTTACTGTACCTAGTGGCAGGGTAACTGTGTCTAGCGAAGTTAACATTACCAAAAGGCAGGCATGGACCACACGCTGGCTTTAACCCCCAGCCAGTTAGCGCACACTACATCCTTGGGGGAAAAAAGAGGATGGAATAAGAGGCTAGGAGAGTTTAGGGAAAGTCCTCTGCATGGAAACTGGGGGTAGCTCTGCTCACAGCTTTCACTCTCTACACTCTAGTCGGGCATACTACCCCCCAGTCTCACTCTAGCCATCTTACCCACTGTGTTTTCTTCATAGCCCTTTGCTTTATGTATTTGTTTACTGGCTTACTGTTAGTCTCCTCTATTAAA